AGCTGCTGTGGCCTGGGCAGGCTGTGCCAGTCTCTGTCCTCTGCTGTGGTGTCTTTGATATGGTTCCTCCCCTCAGGCACGGGTGGCCTGGACTCAGCTGGAGGGAACATGGCAAGGACCTCAGGTCTAGAGAAAGAGGATGCAAAATGCTCCTCTTCCCTGCCTTCCCATAGAGGTCCTCTAAACGATGATGGGAGAGGACCACGATGTTCCTTCCAGCGATCAGGAAGACCAGGCCATCCCTGCTGGCCAGCCCCTATCAGCCTTTGCCAGAGTTCCTAAATTAATCCAGGAAGGCTGGGCTTGTGGAGTTCCTCCAGTAACACCAGCCAGGTGATTTGTGCTTCCCATACAAACGCTCTTCTCCAAGCCACTGGCAGGAGAGGCTTTTTGTGTCCCTGATTAGAATTGCAAGAGACGATGGCACTCGAGGGTAGCAGTAAAGAGCTGTGTTTATCCCCCGTAATTGCTGCCTGCTCCTCTGCCTCCTGCTGAACCACATCATCCAATTTCGGGCTGAGTCTCTCAGAAACCGCGGGGCTGAGTTAAGTTTTCTGTGCTCTGTGAATGGGGGGTGGAATTTATTTCTGCTGGCAGATTTGTCCTGCTGCCCTGAGGTGTTTGGGGGCCAATGCACCCTTTTGGGTCCCTTTAAGGATGCTGTTGGCAAAGCAGATCCTGCATCACAGCACATGGAGCCTGGAGCCGTGTGAGGAGGGAGAGGGAACAGCCGTCTGGATGCAGGGGTTGTACTGAGGACTCGGATGTGATTTAGATGCAATCTGGTTTAGTCTATCTGCAGGAACGTATTTCAGTCAGACGCTGTACAGGAGGTGAGGGGGTGTGATGGTTCCCAGCCACCCGCCACGTAGGACTGAGCAAAACTTCTTTAACCACAACAGCCTTTGAAGAAAGCCATCTGCACGGCACGGCGTCCCGAAGCCCAACCTGCTCCAGCTCAGAACAAGCTGTCAGCACAGGTTGGACAAGCTCCGTTTGGCAAAGTGCTCCCTCAGCTCTCTGCCAGCTGCCGGCACGGCTCACCCATCCCAGCCCCGAGCATCTCCTGGCTCCCAGGACTCCCAGCACACGCAGACCCTGGCTGCTGGGCTGAGGTCCCTCTCCTGCCTCTCCCCCAGCTCCAGGAAGGAGGCCCAGAGGTCTCTCCGTGGCCAGCCAGAGCAGAACAATGTTCTGCATACTCTCACCCCCCGCACATCGCAGCCAACGGGTGTCAGCTGCTAAACTGAGCCTAAAAGCTTGTTTTGTTAAATCCTTTCCTACAGAAAGAGTCCGGGCTGCAGTTTCTGTGCTGAGAACTAGAGAACTCCCCATCTCTCCCATAGTATTTCTCAGTGGTGAATACCCACACTGCTAAAGGCAGTTTTTGGGGGGGTTATTTTTCAAATTAGAAGAGGTTGGTTCCAGCTTCCAACTACTGCTGCTTTAACCCTTCCCGTGCTTCTTGATGAGCAAGTCCTTCCTCATTTCAACACTGCAATCAAGTCAGTCTTGAGCTTTGTGGTGTGCTGAGCAGCCCGGGCTTCTCAGGTCAGGACTTCTAGGCTGGGGATGGGGCTTTCTGTCTCCCCCTCTCCCATCTTCTGGACCCCACAGGACCCTGCTTGTCCTCTTCCCAGTCCTCCAGAGTCGACCTGCTCCATCCTTCTTGCCTCCTGGCCGCTGGCAGGATGGGGGGAGCTCAGCTTCTGGGCAGGGCAGGACTTTTCTGCCACCAAAAGGAAGTCCCCTTACAGGGGGACCGGAGACAGACCGAGGAGACAAAACGTTTTCAGATGTTCTCCCGGGGTGGCAGGAGTGTCTGATGGAGACAGATGGGATTTGGCTTCTCCTTATGGGGAAAGCTCAGTTCCTGCAGTTTTTGTGCAGAACCAGGCGCCGAGCGAGTCCCCAGCGATTTGTGGGCAGGGTGGGACCACAGAGCCAGCCCGAGTCCACGCTCTGCCTCATCTGAACCAGGGATATTATTTTGGGATGGATAATTTTCTGGGGATCTCTAAATGAAAGGGTGAGTTACGTTTCCCCTCGGAGGGAAAACAAGCCTTGAAAGCTTCAAGCCCTTGAGGAAAACATTCCTTGGTTTCTGGTGAGCTGAGGAGCTGCTGAGCTTTGCAATGAGACCGGGCACCTTCCCAAAGTACACTCTCCCCCACCCTGGTCCATGCTCTTCAACGAGGGACCTGCTGCCACACGGAGACCCCCTGGGGAGGTTGTGGGTTTCTTGCCCACCCCAAGGCCAAGGTGGGAGGTGGGCTGGCATCTGGGGATGGACCAGCTCTAGCACAGACAGTCCCCACCTCTCATTCACAGCGGGACTCCCCTCGGAAAAGCCGATGACTGCTCAGCACGGGTCAGATTAAAATAATCACCGGGATCCCTCCTGGCCCTGGGCTTTTGCAGACAACGTGGCTAATCCCCCAAGGCACATGCAGCCCATTTTTATTCCAGGTGTGTGACAGCCCAGGTGCCCTTCCTCCGAGGTTCCAACCATCCTACACTGGAGCAAAGCCACCCATGGCTGAGCTGGGGGCAGCCAGAGCCTCTTCAAAGCCCTGGACTTGCAATGTGTGTGAAGAATCTTCATTTATAGCTCCTAAAGAGGAGCAGGCTGATGCCACCACCTCCTCTAAGAGGTTCTGGTGACTCAGGATCCTCAGTTCTAGCTGGGGGACACCAACTGAATCCAGTTGGGCAATGTCAGAAATCAGTGCCTGAAGAGCAGGCTACCTTCTTGGGAAGAAAAACATCACCCTCAAGGCCAAAATCCAGGAGGGAAGGAAACAGAACGAGGCTTGATTCTTCCCTTGAGTCCCTGTGGATGTCCTGGGTGGTGGGAGATGCTGAAGGGAGACCACAAGCCCAAGGACGGCTAAGAAGGTCTAGGTGCTTTGAGCAAGCTCAACCCAGAGACAGACCACTGTGGTTCAGCAGGAAGCTTGAGATCTGGAAACACCCAGACACATTCCTGGGAAAAGCCAGCAAAACAGGCAACAGCAGGAAGACACCTTCTGGACTGCCTCCCTGAAGCTCTGGAGACTGAGAGCCATCCCCTGCTGGTTTTTTGCCCAGCTCGAGTGACTTGCCATGATTGCTCAGAGGAAGACCACCTCAGATAGATATTTTTCCATGCCACCATTTCTCCACAAATGGTCTCTCCTAATGACCACATTAACCAGGTTCTCCTCCCAGCTGTGGGCAGCAGCAAAAGGACATGTTTTCTATTACTAGATACATGCCAAGAAAAAAAAACAAACCCAAATTTGTTGTGTTTTTGTTGAGATAGATGCCAACAAACATTTTTTTTTTTCCACAAAGTATCGGTTTTCATGAAAACCGTCAGACTCTGAAATGATTCCAAAGTAAACTCTTCTGCTCTGATGGTATCTCACTGGGGGTACGAGGTTTAACAGCCCAGATCTCAGAACCTGGCACATCAAAACCTACTCAATGTTGACTTTGCCGTTACGGTCCCTCCCTCAGGAAAAATGTTTCCTCCTGCGAGATCAATTTTTCAGTCCAATTCCAGAGGGGAAAAGCAAACTTCAAACCACCAGCGTTTCTCACAAGGCAGCAATCTCTTTTTCCAATCAGCCCTAATTAATAATGATTAGAAAAAATCTTTAGTTAAAAAAACCCAAACCTGAACAAGCAAACAGGGAGTGCCCGTCCCCTCCCCCTTTATTCAAAATGTTTTAATTCTGTCCCTCAGCCTCTCTCTCTCTCCTCCACACAGAGCTCAAGTTCCTTTTTCTTTTCTTTTTTTAAAAGCTGGTTGTCATTTCCTCTTCAAAACACTGTTGCAATGAGGAACGGGCCGTTATAAAAATACCATTCTTGCCTTCCCCTTCTCCAGCAAAGAGGGACCTGCCTCGCTGTGGAGCTTTAGCTCACCCTGCGTGCCAGGAGGCTCCAGCCCTCCCACCACCTCAGAAACCAGCCACAAACCTTCATCTCAAGTGGACCCCAAAGAGAAATGCCCCTTTGGTGATCCTTTAGCTCCCTGTATGAAGAAGCAGCCAGAGGTGGAGGACCAGGGGTGGACAGTGGGTGGAAAGGAGCCAAAGGCTGGCAGAGGAGCAGGCAGGGTTGAGGACATCACGGGGACAACTGCAACAGTTCCTGGAGGTGTTGGCACCTAGATGGGCAGGTTGACCCCTTGTGCCAGGGCTTGCCAGACTGTGCATGAGTGATGGGGATGAAGGCATCACCTGGGGATGCCTGGCAGGCACGTGGACCCCACCGTTGGCATCAGCATCCCTGCAGGGATGTCCTGTGTTGCAGTTGGGTCCAGCTGGGTTCAAGGAGGAAGAGGGGGGGTTAGAGGAGGGCAAGGTCTGGAAGGTTTGGAAGGACAAGGGTCCCTTCTCCTCTTTATTTGAATCCATATACTAAAGCACATCGCTCGTTGCCCATGTCCTGCTCCAGCAACACCTCAGGGTACATCCAGCATCACCTCCTTTGCACCTCGGCACACCACGACGGAGGCCAGTCAGTTTTGTTCCTTTATTACACATTGCCCAGGCGTGGTAGAGCAGCAGCAGCAGCAGCCACCAGCCCCAGGACCAAAACACAGGCCCTTGGAGAGCTGCAGTTGGAGAGACCTTTGCAAGAGGTTGCCGAAACGGCAAAGATTTTTCCATGTTGGGCAAAGATTCCCATTAATCTGGGAAAGAGCCCGCCTGCCGCTCACCGGAGCCACCCAGCCCCAGCCCTCTGAAGCCCACCTGCTCCAAAGGAAAGATGAAGGTACTTTTTTTTTTTCCTCCTGACAGCCCTCCAACTAGTTTGAGAGATGTATAAGCATTTTACACCCTACGGCGTGTAAAGCCTTCCCCACTCCCCCCTCCCACTTCCCTCCATGTATGTA